AGCTTTACATACCAAGCTTTCATATGAGACAGAGAAGTTCTGTCCAAACCTCACGGTCAAGAAGATCGATGGTGGTCATCATTCCATTCAGCAACACGAACCGGATGTTGTTAATGTAGTATTGTGAGATTTGTTGCCTCCTGTGGCTGGACCTGGGTTTGGTGCAGGCTATTGTTTAGTGTGCACTCATGCCTATCTTGCAATGGCTTGAGTGCACGCTGGACAATGACCTGGGCTTGGGTTCGGTTGCAGGAGGTGACAGCTTTCACATTACTGGAGAAGACATTACTGCAGAGAAATCACAAGTGGTGCACGTGCATAGTGGGCAATTGAGTTACATGTGAGTTAATCATTCGATTATCCTTATAAATTTTACATTCATTTATTTTTTATATGTAATACATGTATCCTACTTATATGCTCGTTGAACAATTATGATTTGTATTTTATCACAATATGATCTTGTAAGGTTGTTGCTAGGTTGCTGGTATATAGACGTAATTTTATTTTAACATTATGCATGTGTAGTAATGTGAGATTGTTGCCTCCATAAGGGGGGAACAGAGAAAATGTCTTTAATGTATTTTTTAGTGTGTTTTGCAATTTTGATTTTATTGCTAAATTAATGTATTACCAGGTAATGTCATTAATTGGGGGGAAATTGTAGTATTGTGAGATTTGTTGCCTCCTGTGGCTGGACCTGGGTTTGGTGCAGGCTATTGTTTAGTGTGCACTCATGCCTATCTTGCAATGGCTTGAGTGCACGCTGGACAATGACCTGGGCTTGGGTTCGGTTGCAGGAGGTGACAGCTTTCACATTACTGGAGAAGACATTACTGCAGAGAAATCACAAGTGGTGCACGTGCATAGTGGGCAATTGAGTTACATGTGAGTTAATCATTCGATTATCCTTATAAATTTTACATTCATTTATTTTTTATATGTAATACATGTATCCTACTTATATGCTCGTTGAACAATTATTGATGTTCCTTTTGGCATAATTTGAGTGTGTAACAGGTTCTTGCAATGCGATCCTTTTTATAGTATTTGAGTGGCGTATGTGCATGTATACGAAGTGAAATCCTAAACTCACACTTGTTAATTTTATTGGTGGTACGATGTTTTACAATTTTATACAATTTTATACAGATTAATGGTCTATTATAACTGAATTGTATGTACAGTATATATACCTTTGAATGTTGCTGTATGTTAATTGTAATGTATTACGTTTTATCCCTCATAGGACCACAAAGACTGTATTGCATGCATGTACAAGGGCGTACCTTGAAGTCGAGCCTTTTTTATATAGTGTGGGCGGTGAGTCTTATTGGTTTTTAATTTGTATTAAAAAGATATTGTTTGCATTATGTATTGAATGAATCTGTTGTTAATTTTTACACTTCAACTGTAATTTAGGTTTTACCTAAGTGATGTAAGGCATTATATTGTGAAATGAAAAGTTAACTGTCCTTCAGCCGTTATATTGGACATGATATATTATTTATTTAACCTGTTCATTGAAGTCATGAAAATAATAGTGATGATTATTTAGTTGATGCAATGTTTGAAGCTGGTCTATAATGGGCTTATTTACTGAACACCTTCTTTGTTGCTGATGCAGATCATGAAGTATATAATTATGTAATCGGTTATTTGAATATTATGATGTTTTTAATTTACGTTTGTTTTTACTCTTTTGTGTTTCTACAGGGGCTGTTTTGTAGCCTTCATTAATGATCTAATGAAACAATACTTGGAATAATTACACTTGCTATTAAATAGTTCTTGATTTTTTTTAAATCAAACCTTTTTGTCAAACCTTTCATTTAAGGCTTTCTATCACTTTCTACCTAAAATAGATGTGTGTTTATGGAGATAAAATAATGTCAGTGCAGTTACAAAAATTCTGTAGTCTGGTACTGAATGAGAAAGCAACCAACATAATTATTAAGGATAAACTGTACAATAATAATATTGAATCCAGATGTTGTATTTATAGCAATGCTAGCAAGAGCTTGTAAATTATTTGATTATTTGAGGAGTAGAACTGTCTATAGAAAGCATGTAAATGCACTACTACAAAGAATCATTTGATTATAAATTTAACATACACATTGTACTGAAATGTATTAATTTACATATTATGTACATCATTGAAAATGGCAATATGAAATGAAAAATTAAAGTAAAAAGTGTTCGTAAGAATTGAATCTGTTTCTTGTGAAAAAATGTTCTTCTTTCCTTTAACATTTATTTTCATGAGGAAGCAGTGTTTACGTTATAATAACCCGAGTTATACCAGTTTTCTCTTAAACTGAGCATAAAAAATAGCCTGGCTCAAATACCCCAATAATTTCTGTATGTGAAACAGTAAAGATTTTGCATTTAGTATATATAAATGTACATTATACCTAAAAATTGGCTTGTGCATGGTAAAAAAAAGTGGCTGGAATGTCAATGTATACACTAGAAGAAATGTTGTGACAGTTTGTTCTCTTATACAGATATTTGTATTATTTCAAAACTCATAAATCATTGGATACCTATTATTATTAAAAGTCTATTTTGCTTTCAAAATAGTGAATTTATACCAATCAATTACAGAAGATAGGACAATTCAAATTATTCTTAGAGTAAATCCCTATCAACATATATCTATCTCTGATCACTAACTTCATCAAGTGATTGACTTTAATACATTAGAATCACAAAGAAAAAAAATCAATTCATAGCTTGACTGCACCATATTAACATGAAATGTTTGTATTTTCAGCCCCACAATATTGCCTTCATTCAACTGGAAACCTAGCCCTCCCAAAACCAAAATCTGAATACTCTTGACAAAATTTTAGTTGCCAAGGAGCATGCAAAATTCCACATCATATATCTTCCTCATGTGATATAGCTGCATTCTGTAAATTGTTTAATTTTACAGGGTACTAGTATTGTTCTTTCTTTCTTTTCTTTTATGATTTTTGCCAACGTTAGGGTGTTGCGTTTAGTGTGTGGTTTTAGGGTGTTGCTTTGGTGTACTTAGGGTGTCACTGTTTGTACTTCAAATTGAATTGTGATATATGTCTCTTTGATTAATTATTAATTTAGTAAAATCATTGACAATTTATTTTCCAATACAGATATTGGTATCATTTCAAAGCCCATCAATTATTGCAATCCTGTTATTAAAAGACTGTTTTGCTTTCAAAATATAGTGAATTTTTCTGAGTGTAATCTTTCTCAAACGTGCATTATAACTGCATGGAGAAAAATGTTTCCTGTGTCTAATGAAAATCCATTTTCACACAAACTGTCTTGTCTTCTGCAGTGTGAATTGAGTAAAAGTCTCTATTTCTAAGAATGTCATTGACACAGATGATAAAAAACTTGAATCAGTTCCCCGGCCGCTCCCTGACCATTAAAGGTAATACAAAGTTTTGGGAAATTTTGAAATTTGGGTGGATAGTGATTCTTTACAATTTTGATATTTTTGGATGCCCCCGTAGATGTTTTATAAGCACTAGAAAATTTAGCCCCTGAAACACTTCTGCTTTTGAGAAAAATTGAATATTAAAATTTACCGGTGCTCCCGATAAATTTTGATAAATTTCAAATAGCCCCTACAGCCGTACACTGGTAGCTGCGACCATGAAAATCTCAGAATATGTAGTTGTGATATATTATTTCCAAATGGGATTAGCTAACCGGTCAATTTTAGTCAAGAAACATTGTTTTATAGCTTAATTGATATCTTGACCTCGAGAGGAAGCTATACAACATAAAGAGTTTATTATTTATAATTTCATAACTTTAAACTCAATTTCAACCGCGACAAAGATCACTGAGTATTGTCGGATCGCATATGCTTCCAATATGTTCATTTTAACCAAATTCATGACCCCATACCAAAACTTTGTATTACCTTTAAGCTGAAACCCGGTTTGAATTTTTGATTTTGGGTATAATATTTTGCAATACAGAACTTAAATATACATTTCACAAACTGAATTTCAATTTAATTAAAAACATGTATATGGGCTGTAGAAATAAATGGTTATAATTTCATATGACGGTAGGCCTCTTTGTGGTACAGTAAATTTTTGTCCATAAGAAAATAGAAGAAAACAATAAATTTGATTTTTCATTGGAACAAATTAGGTGGTCTGATATTTAATCTGAATAACTGGAAGACTATAAACATCATTTAAGGAGAGTAGAATCATATATTATATGGGACGAATTGATATTGCAGTATTGATGATCATGATGGTGGTGATAAGGATGATGACGATGATAATAAGGATAATAGTAGAAATGGCATTGATGACTGAGAAAATGATGAGGATAATGATAGCAATCATGCTGATTTAAAAAAAAAATCATTTTTGATATAGGTGATAATATAGATGAAAATTATAATTATGTGATTATAATAACTACAATGAAAACACCTGTTTACCTATGTATTTCAATTCATGTTTCTCTCCATGTTAAACATGGTAGGGTGAAATAAGAATACAAAGGGTAAAGGAAATAGCTAGAGAAAATTAGGAAACATATTACAAGACATAATAGAGGCCTTTAGAGGGAGAACGAGAACCAGAGGCGAGAAAGGAAGAGGGTGAGAGGAAAGATAAAGAGAAGGGCAGAGGCAGAGGGAGACATAGCAAGAGAAGAAGAGGGAGGCAAGGCAAGAGAGGGAGAGTGAGGCAGAGAGAGGGAGACAGAGAGAGGGAGACAGAGAGAGGGAGAGTGAGACAGAGAGGGGAAGAGGGGGAAATAATAGAGAGAGAGATGCAGAGACAGAGCAAGAGAAGGAGAGGGTGCAGAACAAGAGAGAGGAAGGGAAACAGAGCAAGAGAGAGTAAAGAGAGAGAGTATGGAAAATGATTTTGAGACGATTCTGAGCATTTTTTTTAAATTGACCTGAAATTGACCATACAGGTATTGACCTTGATCATGATTAATATGAATGAGAAATGACTTTCTGTTATGAAGATGTGATCATGAGTTGATTTTCAGAAAATTCTGATGACCTTGAAAATGTTGCTATGGTGTCTTATGACAATGACCCATGACTGTGCCAAAATTGAAAGAAATTGACAATACCAATCTTGATCCTTTACACAAAAAAGTTCAGAAAAGAGAAGAAATAAAGATAAAGAAGAATTATAATAAAGAAATGACAAAATCAAGTGTATGCTATACCCATGTATGACAGTGACTTTGCAGTTTGTTATAGCTGTTCAAAGCATGAACCTTGATCGAAGACCATGTGTAGACAGTGGAAATTGTCAGACCATGGACTTTGATCAGACCACGTATTGCAGTACATACATATAAAGTTGTATATGCCAAGTACAAGAAATCCTTTTCCAGCTTGATTTCATGACGTACACCCATTTCCTTTGGAGCAGATATTCTACATTCGAGTATGTACTATTCTTGCATGATTTCATCATCATTAACCAGGAAAGCATTGAGAACTCAGTCTAAATTTTAAAGTTGGGAGCACAAATATTTCCAGCTAAAGGTACTCAAAATTACAAATTATATATTCCCCCATCTTCCTTGTATTTATATGCAGAACTAACACAATATCTGGCAATAAGGACTATTGGTTGTGTGGATTGATTGTGTGGAAGTGGAAGAATGTCATTCATGTCCACAGCAGACGTACACTCGGATAGTCACGACATCTATTCAGATGCAAAATGATTTAAGGCAGTGTGAATAGACCAGTTAACGGTTAGCACATCTCTGCAATGACCCCGAATATCCACAGATCTTTAAAACATCAAGTGATTCCACTTTGTACATTTTGAAATAATCACTTCTACAGCAATGGAGGTGCTACATAAATAGCCTTTGTTTCCCCTTTTCAAAGAATACTTCCACCTGTAATTCTGCCTGTGTATCATGGAATGCACTGCTAGTTCATTAATGAATAATGATTACATGACTTTCATGAGCACGTATCCACTATTTCACAATTTGTTCCGCAATGACTGCAGACTGCAACCGTAAACTGGCTTATTACAAGCATTATTCCAGGGCCTTCCCTCCTTGCTTGTTATACATATCTCTTGCAGAGTGAACCCTAAAAAGGCCAGGCTATTTGAGGTCTTAGTACGGCATGTTAAGTGAAGTGTATAGAATAATATGATAATTTCAATTTTTTTGAAAAATTCACTCATTTGCATATTTATGGTAATTTATGCAAATAAAGTCATAAAAATCACATTTATACCCATTAATCATATATTATTCATATTTAAGCATTCTTTTTCACTACATATATTCATTAGACCATTCTGAATAATAATACAACAAAAAAATTTGGAAGAGCCAGCTTATTCCTTATGTTATCCCTTGTTTTAATAATTTCTTATGTATTTCATTGTTTTTTTAACTTAAGTATTCCATTGTTTTTGTTGTTTTATTTCATTTCTTACTACAATTCAACTTTTTTGACTCCCAAAACAACCACCTAAACTTTAAACAAGACCCAATAACCCATGTTTGATCTTTTTTTAGGAAAAATGACTTTTCCATATGCTTTGTACACAAATCACGAAAATGAGCGATTTTCGGGCTGACATGCAAAGACAAAAGGTCACGTGACCTTGTAACCGTAGGTCCGATTTTCAAAATAATTCTTTTAAAAGTTGCGCAAGACTCGAAAGAAAAAAGTCAGTGAGCGCCAGGGCGCCATCCATATGCGTTCCCGAGCAATCTGAAAAATTGTGGAGGGGGGGCTATAATGGCCCCCCCCCCCCCCGGCCTTATTAGGGCTAAGTGATTAGTTTATTCATGCCTGTTCTTTACTTTTCTTGCAGCATTGCCATGGGTCTCCAGACTCTCCTCAGCTACACCATCGCCAGGAACATCATCCTGTTTCCACTGTTCATTCTGAGCGTGTGCAAAGGAATGGTATTTTTCCTTGGTGCTCTTATCTTCAAGGGACCATCATGGGTGTTCAATAAAAAGCTAATGGACGTCCGACCAGACTGCCTCAGTGAGCCAAGTCTTGGCACACATAAATTCATTGATATTAAGGTGAGAAATTAAGCTATTCAATAGTTTTATATGAACATTACACTTAAAAAGACTCAGAGTCATATATGTGACACATGTAGAGGTGTTATGGTATAGTGGTTCATTCACTTTACTTGTATTCATAAGGTTCAGGTAAGGCTTCAAATCCCAGCCCAGTACTAATGTCCTTTAATAAGACCTTAATCTACATTTGCCACTCTCCAGCTAGGTGTAAGTGGACAACGGGGATTTTTTTTGCAATTGGTCTCATCAAGTTTCATGTTATGACAAAAATGACATCTCTAATCTACTGTGCATGTACATGTTTAAACTGCTAACTATCATCTGTTCATTTCTACTTTTCAGGATTTGAAACTACATGTGGTAGAGTCAGGTGACCCTAAGAATCCTCTGATGTTATTCCTCCATGGCTTCCCTGAATGTTGGTATTCATGGAGACATCAGATCAGAGCATTTAACAAAGATTATCAGTGAGTACAACCACACTCTCTTCAGAACAAGTTAACTTAAAGCCCCTCTAAAGTGTTGGGAGCCATCAATCTGGTAAAGTCCAAGAATTTTCATCTCCTCTAAATTTCTTGTGCAGTTCTATGAACATGTTAATTCTCAGTCTAGTAAGCATTTTCTAGATGTCGGTCTCGTGGGCTGTCGATCTCATGGAATGTTGGTCTACTGGGATGACCCCTGTCTTCAGGCTCATTGAGATATGATGCAGTGAACCCCCCCCCCCCCCCTCCACAAAAAAATCATACAATTTATTGAAATACTACAGAATACTACAGAACATATCTTTATGTTTGTAATGCTTGACGAAAGATTACTATTACTTGCCAAATGAATTCATTTGCCCTTTTGCTTCATACTTTACAGCTGTGTGGCATTTGATATGAGAGGAGTTGGCGAGAGTGATGCCCCTGCTGGAGTGTTGAACTACACACTGGATAAACTTGTTGGTACGAAGCGTATAATACTCATATTATCAATAAATAAACTTTTAATTATGAAGAATCAATTTAGCAATATTTATTCCTAACATTACGCCCTTGTGAATACATGTATGAAACTAATCAATCAATACAGTGAATGACCCGATAAAGAGTCAGTTTTATTCTTACAAAAAAATTACATGTACCATACTTACATGTGCAATATAAACCAACTAGTGTGAAGAGTCTGGTCACTAAGATATTTTCGATGAAAATATAACTGTATTTATTTATCTACATGAAACTCCACAACTTTCTTGGTAGGATTAGTACTTGATTAAGTTGCCGGTACTGCTATGATCAACTTTTATGAAATTATCTGAAAAAAAGATATACCGGTACACTCATGGATATGTTGTAACTAAACCATTGATAAATAATTGTAATAAGTCGAAATTAGCAGTACCGGTATATGTTAAAAAGGTAAACTTGTGTGACCATATGTAATTCCTAACAAAAGGGATATTCTGTTTGTCCTTTTTTAGGTGATGTACGTAACCTGATCAAAGTCATAGGTCATAAATCCTGTGTTCTAGTAGCCCATGACTGGGGTGGTTTGATAGCATGGGAGTTTGCTGCTCGCTACCCAGACATGGTAGACAAGTACATTCCTATGAACATACCTCATCCAGACAGGTTTGTGGAATACGGCACCAGCTCTATTGCTCAGATGAACATGTCATGGTGAGATCACTGTTGTTTCCTCTTAATAATAATAATAACAATAATATTACTAATAGTCATGATGATTAACGACAACAACACTAATAGAACAGTTCATACATGGTGCATTATACCTTTGGAAAAAGTCCTGATACACTTAGGAAAAGGTGAGAAAGAAGCAAAAGAAGTAGGAAAGCTACAGGGAAATGTAAAAATAGGAAACGCAACCTTTAGTATAATAGACAACTACTCTACAAGAAACCAGAAAAATCAGAAAAGCAGATTGGTGAAAATTTTAATGAAATGGGATATACAACAAGGTGTGAATTTTTGAAAGTTGTAATCCCTATACAAAAATTATGAGCACTTCAAATTGGCTGAATCGGTAATATCAATGTGACGTAGTGCTGGACAACTTTTTCATTTGTTTCAACACACAAAATGAATGATTTTTTAACTCACAAAGTGACTCAAGAGGGACTTTTCTTTTGAGAGGACTTATAACATATATAATAATAAGCTATCTATGATATATTTTGAGAAGCAGAATAATGAAAGTTTGAAATATAAATAAATCGAACCAAGAATAAAATGAAATATCAGGAGCAGGGCTAGGGTGCAATTAAAACCCCTAAAATATGTAAAAGCTTTTGAATTTGTAACGGCTATCGAGGCCCTGTTTGGAGAGAGGAGAAAAGTTCACCTTCGCAATGTCTAACACAATGTCTAATTCCATAGAATTTAACTGTGAGCTATTCACGAAAAAAAACTTATCCATCATGTCATGACTTCAGTTTTACATATTATTGAGACAAAATAATTTATGATTCACCGAGACAAAATAATTTATGATTCACTAATCCAATTTTTCTTTTTGACAGGTACGTGTTTTTTTTCCAACTGCCCTATCTACCGGAGATGATGATATCGATGGGGGACTATGCTATGATGAAAAAAGCCTTTAAGATAGGCCCGGGTACAGACGAAGATGTTGACGCATTCAAGTATTCTCTCTCTAGACCAGGTAATACCTCATGCAATGTATTATTGGCCTGTATTTGACTCAAATTTAAAGTCCGCTCCTTTCCTTCTTTCTTGTGATTGAGATAATCTACTCCCCTGAAAGCAAGATATAGAATACAACATGATATTCTACTTCACATGTGATGAAGTCAGATCAAGAACACATATGAATACAAAAAAAACGAAAGAATTGTGAAATTTGAAGTACAAAAGGCATGGAGAGTTGTCCACAAATGACGCATCAAATTGAATATCGCCCTCTAGTGACTAGTCATTTAAAAAAGCTTTAACTTCCTTATTCCTTGGCCGATTTTGTTCGAATTTTCACTGATTTTATTCATATACCTTAAACTTTACAATAAAAGTAACTTAGTATGAAGGTTTTGGTTCCCTTTAATAAGCTTGTTTTCTGAAAATGTAGAAAGAACTTCAACATTGATAACAAAAGTATACATTTTTGATCTACAATTGTGTGAATTCAGGTCGGTCAACAACTTTCATCAATTACTATCGGAATCTCGTAGGGGAGTTGTTTAACAAGCCATGTGGGAAAATTGTGGTTCCAACCTGCTTGATTTGGGGAACAGGAGATACAGCTTTACACACCAAGCTTTCATACGAGACAGAGAAGTTCTGTCCAAACCTTACAGTCAAGAGAATAGAAGGGGGTCAGCATTCTATTCAGCAACACAAACCAGATGTTGTTAATGATCTAATGAAACAATACTTGGAATAATTACACATTCTATTAAATACTTTTTGATTATTTTTTTTTAAATCAAACCTTTTTGTCAAACCTTTCATTTTAGGCTTTCTATCACTTTCTACCTAAAATATTTGTTATTCAAAATAGATGTGTGTTTATGGAGATAAAATAATGTCAGTGCAGTTACAAAAATTCTACAGTCTGGTGCTGAATGAAAAAGCAACCAACAATATGATGGATAAACTGTACAATAATAATATTATGTATGATCCAGTCTCAATCCAGATGTTGTATTTATATCAATGCTAGCAAGAGCTTGTAAATTATTTGATTATTTGAGGAGTAGAACTATCTATAGAAAGCATGTAAATGTACTGCTACAAAGAATAATTCAATTATAAATTTAGCATACACATTGTATGGAAATTATATTGATTTACATATGAACATCATTGAAATTGGCAATGTAAAAAGAAAAATGAAGGAAAAAGTGTTTGTAAAAATTGATTCTGTTTCTTGTGAAGATTTTTCTTCTTTCCTTGAATGTATATTTTCATGTGGAAGCAGTATTTACATGTTATAATAACCCTGAGTTATAACAGTTTTCTCTTTAACTGAGCACAAAACTAGCCAGGCTCCAAATCCAATACCCCAATAAATTTATGAACCTATATGAGGAAACCGTATAGATTTTGCATTAACTATATATATATACCTAAAACTTGGCCGGTGCAGGTCAAAAAAGTGGCTGGAATGTCAATTTTTACACGAGGTGAAATTTTGTGACAGTTCATTCTCTAATTTGTTTTATTTCAAAACCTAATAATTAAAAGTCTGTTTGCCTTCAAAATAAAGAATTTTCCTGTTTTTTTTTTTCTTCAAACCTGTATGAATCATTGTAACTGGAAATAAAATTCTTCTGTGAAATAAAAATCCATTTTCAAACAAACTGTCTTTTCTTCTGCAGTATGAATTGAGTAACTAAAAGTCTCTTACTATTTCAAAGAATGTCTTTGACGGATGATAAAAGAAAAGAATCAAACCGGGTTCTAAGTAGGCCCAAGTTGAAACTGTTCCCCGCCCGCTCCCTGACCATTAAGCTGAAACCCAGGTTTGAATTTTTTATTTCGGGTATTTCAAAATCAAATATCACACTGATATTTTGCATTACAGAATTTAAAATATACAATTCACAAATGGATTTTCAATTTAAGTGCATACATGTATATAGGCTGTAAAACTAAATGGTTATAATTTCAGATGAGGGTAGGCCTCGTTATGGCTCTAGAATTGAGGGTGCAAGGAAGTAACGGAAGTTAAAATACCACTTTGGCAAGTCACGATCAGACTATCAAAATTACAATGTCATATAAAGCATTGTTTGTCAAAATATCTACAAAGTTACGACTTACCCAAGATATAATAATGAAGAAAAATACATTATAGTGGCTCAGTAACATTGTTAAAGGTTGATAAAAAAATAATTTTTGTATGAAATGTTACTTATTTTATTCCTTCTACTGTACTAACCTTCTTAAAGGTAATACAAAGTTTTGGGAAATTTTGAAAATTGGGTGGATAGTGAATCTTTACAATTTTGATTTATTTGGATGCCCTGTGGATGTTTTATAAGCACTGAGAATATTAGCCCCTAAAACACTTCTATTTTCGAGAAAAATTGAATATAAAAATTTACCGGTGCTCCCTGTAAATTTTGATAATTTTCAAATAGCGCCTATGGCCGTGCAATGGTAGCTGCGACCATGAAAATCTCAGAATATGTAGTTGTGATATATGTAATTTCCTAACAGGATTAGCTAATCGGTCGATTTTAGTCAAGAAACATTGTTTCATAGTTAAATTAATATCTTGACCTTGAGAGGGAGCTATACAACATAAAGAGTTTATTATTTATAATTTCATAACTTTAGACTCGAGAAACGATCAATGAATATTGTATGAACGCATATGCTTCCAATATGTTAATTTGAACCAAATTCATGACCCCATACCAAAACTTTGTAATACCTTTAACAATAACATGCAAAAAATCATGAACAAATTCTCAAACTACAAAGATATTTATGGTTTTCTTTGAAGGCGTCACTGTGCGACACCCTCTAACAGTAAATTCTCTGAACCTTTTTTGAATTTTACTAAATTTTTCCATAAAATTAAGACATAAGACAGGCTTTAACAACAAAAAATAACTCTTAAATGTCAGGAATAGTATATACATGTAGAGCGAAGTCATTGCTTTGTGACAATTAACATTCACCTAAAATGTAATCAAATTGTAATAATATTTTGGGAGATTAAGGAATCAATCAGGTCATTTTTTTCTTCCAGTTGTTATCATTAATAATGGTCTGTTTTCACTGAAACTTTCAGATAATCTTTAATTGCACATCCAGCATTGAAGTCACTACCTAAGCACCATTTTACCTCATCTAAACAATGTTATAAAGTCCTTTTAAAGCACTCATTGATGTGCCTTTCAATCGTTCTATCATGGCCAAGCTAAAGTTCGAAGTTTGTCATGCTCGATGAGCGTGGATTCAACACTACATTGTTATACCATGGACATGGTTATACATATATAGATCAAGGTCCAAATTGATCAGATCAATAAGCTTTAACCAACTAAAAATACCACATTAGACTTTAGTACTAGTTTGGCTAGAAGGGATAAGACCACCCAGCAAGGTCACTGACAGGTGGGTATTTCATCAACTCAGCCCTCAATTAACATATAAAAAGGGGATCATGTGGGACCAACAGGCACCGACTGGGGAAGTTTTCTATATAAAGGGAGCAAGTACATGTAGCTACAAATAGTACAGTGGGGCTTTAAGAGACTACACCACAACATAATAACTGTCAAACAATGCTATAGATATCCAAATTATCCAAAAATATCAAAAATACACTTTACAGAGTTCAGCTAGCCATCATTTTTATATATGAGACAATCGTTTTGTGTGGACGAGGACGGCGTTCCCGTCCTCTAACAATGCGAATTGGCTGCAGACAACCCGTCCTGTTCACTACTTTATAACCCTATTTGTTTGTAGTCGACGCCCGTTTTCTACAAAGATGCTTACCCCCGTCTTTTTCTCCTTCAGTTTTTTTCTGTTTCTCAGTAGGTTCTGTCGGTGTTGGTAAAATGTTAGCTTCACAATGATCGGCCGTGGTTTTCTCCTCAAAGGAGTGGCAGCCGAGTCCTCCTGTCGATGTCCCTCATCGATCGTTTATCGATAATTCCAACTTTTTTATTTTTTCCTCACAATTTTGGTACTTGTTTTGCAGGTTTAGAAGCCCATTTTTGAGTTTATCAACTTTACTTTGTAGATCAAAGATAGCCCTATCTTGCTTATCTAGGCGATCAATAATCTCCTGGAATCTGGGATCCAGGGCTTCGAGGAGGGCTTTCTTTAAAATAGAGAGAATCTCTTCATCAACGATTGCTTCCTTCAGTTGATTCTCTATGCTCCGATTTCAGGCTCCACCAGCCATTGTATTCACAAGAAAAGACTAGCCTTTTGATGGGTTGATGAGACTGCAAGACTCGAATGTATAATCCTGCTTTTCACATAGTTCGATAAATAGATAATCTGCTTACTCGGGTTGGGTAGGTTCAGGTTGATTGAGAGAGACAATAACTTATAGTGAAGGGTAGTGATCAAGTAGAGTGGAAGAAAATAACAGCACTGGGAGCAGTAAGTGGGACCAATACAAGTTGGCTTCCGTTAACGAAGAGTTTCAGTGATATTATCAAAATCAAAGTATACACTAAAATCAGTTACTAATTGAATCCAGGCAATGATCAAATAAGTTTACCTACAGTTACATATCAGTCCACATTCAGGTTATGAATATAAAAGTAGAAGAGTCAATCAAAAACAGTAAAATAACAAGTAAATCAGACGCAGCAAAGCTCACATGATACTCTCGTATACTCATGTATGTCACAATCTTATGTTAGTATCATGCTATCACGTTCTCCTTGTCTTTCCTTATGATATTATTTGTTTCTTCCTTCTATCACCTTCTCTTGTGTTATTCTTTGTTTTATCATTCTATTAATTGCCTCTTCCTGTCTTTCCCTATGTTATTCTTTGTTTTATCATTCTATTAATTTCCTCTTCCTATCTTTCCTTATGCTATCCTTTGTTTCTTTGTTCTATCACCTTCTTGAATAAAGTCTATACAGATTTGAATAACATTCATATATGCCTGACTGACATTTGTCTGCAATGGCCCAAGAGACTTGTTTACTAATGTATTTTAATTTATGCATATTTCTCTCTCTCTCTAGCTAACCCCTGGTTAGCAGCCACTTCATTCACCTGCTATTAATAATGACATCTCTATGGATGGATTTCGAGAGAAAATCAGAAAAAACACTGATGATGAAAATGGTCAAAATATGTTATCTTGTTCCGGCTAAAGCTAAGTGTACACAATTTTTTGGAACCCGGCTAGTAGCTAGCCGTTTTCTTTCACATTACGAAATGAGTGCAGTGGCAGATCCAGGGGGGGGCCGAAACGGCCGCGGCCCCCCCTATTGGCGGCGCAAAAAAAAGAAAAAAAAGAGGAAGAAAAGAAGAGAAAAAAGGAAAGGAGAAGAGAAGAAAAAAAAGGAGAAGAGAAAAGAAAGGAGAAGAGAAAAAAAAAGAAAAGAGAAAAGAAAGAAGAGAAAAGAAACAGAGAGAGAGAGAGAAAAAAAACAAAGGAAAAATGATAACGAAGGAAGCCCCCCCCCCCCCCCCCACCCCCAATTTGTGTTTCCAAAATCTCCGAAAAAGGGTTACTTTTCACGCAACAAAGTCCGGCCCGTACTGACTTTACACATCGGAGATAGAGGGGTGCTTTCAAAGAGAGGGAACATAATTGCGCGTACCCTAGATAACACTGAGTGAGTGGGGGGAGGGGGGGGGGTGGGGGGGGGGAGGAAATGGCGCTTAGTGACAGTAACAACGAATAAGGGAAAAACTGTAATCGGGAGATTTGGGGTCATTCCAGTAAGCTTGGCAAACGTCATTGAATAGAGGGGGCCGGGCCGGCCGCATAAAATCTCGAGCCGCGGATTCAAAGTTAAACGTTAAAAACAGCCCCTGCGCTACAAAGGTCACTACTCTTTAGTGAGAATTTGAAAAGGGCACACTATTTTGGATGTCTTTTAAATAGAAGCTATATACTCAACAGTCAAATTTTAAATTAGCGGTAGGGCCGCTTCACAACTCTTATTTTGCCCTTCATTTGGATTCAGCTCATACCAACTCGCTTGTGCTTGTATTTGAACTCATGTTTGTAAAACCATGGATTTATCCATGGTGGGTGTAATAAATCTTTTATTTCTACTAGTCTAATTGTGTGCTATCACAATCATGATTGTTTCATTTTCCCTGTAAAGCAGGCGCATAGCCAGGGGCGGTAGGGGCAGTGAGAGGACATAAGACGAAAAAGGAGCAGACAAGGAAATATTTTTGAAATTCTGACAAGTCGAGAACGGTACAACGAATCGTCTTCTTTCTCTAATAATTTAATGAAATGTCAAAGCTTCCGCGCTACGCGCGAGCGGGGAAAAACTAAATTCAAACAACGATATAGAGTCGAGAATGGAACAACGAATTATCTTCTTTCTCTAATAATGTAATGAAATGTCAAAGCTTCCGCGCTTCGCGCGGGAGAGGGGAAACTGAATTCAAACAAGGATTAAGAGACGAGGATGGTATAACGAATCGTCTTCTTTCTCTAATAATTTAATGAAGCGTCAAAGCTTACGCGTTTCGCGCGGGAGGGGGGGGGCTCAATTCAGACAAGTATTAAGAGTCGAGAACGGCACAAAGAATCGTCTTCTTTCTCTAATAATTTAATGAAATGTCAAAGCTTCCGCGCTTCGCGCAGGAGGGGTAAACTAAATCCAAATAAGGATCAAGAGTCGAG